TTTGACTGCCGATGTTTGCGCTGTTTGGTGTCGGTTGGATAAAGGATGCGTGCAAACAACTCTGGAGTCAGCCGTTGCATATTTAGTAATGATTCGGTCTACCGCACCGCGCCTTATCCGCAGTTGCTACTTCAGGATGGAGAGAATCACGCAGGGGTCAACAGATGATGTGGGCATAAGGCATGCAGAAATTCACAGAGCGATTAGGTAGAATCGGTCTCCCGGTTGGGATCCAAAAAACTCCGTAACTGGCTGGTTCAAGACATTGAGGGATATTGCAACTAACCAACAACAGTAGCTTCCTTGTTGTCATCTCTTATCAAGTCTGAATGCTTGAAAAGTTATGTCAGCTCAGTTAGATAGTACACTGTGTGTTTTGACCATAGAGGTTCGTTTTCTGTCCTCCACCTCAACATATTCACAATCCCCGTGACCGTGACACTTTTTCACTTACTTTATGTACATTATGAACTTCTTTGCGATCCGTTAAGTTCCTTTGATCGGATTTCGATGTACTCACGACGAGGCTGCACTTTGACGTGATGTGATGGCTTGTGCACCTCTCTGACCCAACGAGCTGTGCAAGATGGCTTTTGTCAAACCGAAGATATAATCATTCCCGGAAGGTCGAAAGGTAGAGGCCGGACGAACTCCAGTCTCCTCATCCTTGGGGGTTTGACTAGAATTTGCGTTTTAATCGGTAAAAATGGTGGAGGAGTAATTGATCCCAGTAACTGGGCCTCCATTTCGCTTCAGCCACTGCCTTGGGGCTAGGTTCTTTGGTTGAGAACCCTAATCGTTCTCCTATTCAGTGGCTGGACAACCCAGCAGTACCCGTCCGTCAAACCCCAGTGCATACGCATTGCGAGTTTGGCAACGATCAGTGAGGTTCGCCTCTCTGTATTTCGCTGTACGATAATGATAATGAAGTGGTGTTAAATGTCAGTTGTTAATTCTATATTTATCTTCAAACTGATGTGCGTTCTGTTTGCTTAGTTAGATTTGCCCATATATATGAAAGGGTCTGTTTAACCTAGCAGCCACACCCTGATCAGATTGCATGGTTCGGATAAAAGGCAACTCGATATGTTTACACAGCCACATTTCGTGTTACCATGACATAAGCAACCATTTCCAGTTCACAGCCGCATGGTATACTAGTTTGAGTATTAAGCAGGTAGCTTCTACGCGAAAAACCGTTGGTTTCGTATAAGGTGAAATACATTCAAAAGCTTGGAAATGCAGTCTTACCCGCAGCATTATTTCAATTGTATACAGCTTATCATTTTCCCCCTCCTTCTCTGGTATTATACAATATGGGGTCATCTGACCAAACTGTTTTTCCCTGTTTCTAATCCCCCCTGTTGTACAGATTACCGAGCATTGAGGAATTCCAACACGGTTTTCATTCCCGGGAGCTCATCCAGCTTTGTGATGTACGAAGGACCACCGGGATTTTATGCAGCTCCAACAACCTCGGACCTCATTGATGGTAGTCCCGATGAATCAGTGTACCCACATCAACACCATCCACAACCACAACAACTGCAANCCGCCACAACAATCGGGCTCAAAGCAACAGCAGCAGCAGCAGCAACAACAACAGCAATCCCAACGACATTTCTTTTCTAATCTGCCTCCAATGGGTTCAGCTCATTCGGCCGAATTGTTTGTCTCGCAGGCACAAAGTTTGCTCTACTACCTGGAGCCATCGCCAGAGGTAAATAATTTCAATTGGTGATACAGATGGTTTATTTAGGAGGGAGAAAATCCATTGCTCTCCGTGTACGACGAAATTCACTATAACAGTTGAATTTAATCCTCAACTACTCTCTCTTACGTGGTGCTATCCAGATGTGATATGTGATATGTTGTCGACCAAGGCCCCGGAGACTAATATAAGATGAGCGAGGTTTTGTGCTTACAAAACAAAACGGTTGTGCTTGAATATTCAAATCGTAAAAAGAAACAGTTTGATTGGCTGTCTGTCTCTGTGATAATCATTTAAATAAGTTTTGCCTGTAACGGCCCGAGTTCGGTACTCCCTGGGGTCGATCAATTCACACACTGCTGCTACCGACCAAGCCTTGAACTGCTGCACAGTAATCCGCCCGGTTTCGCATACGATACGATTTATCATATGAAAATCGTTTATTCTGCCTGACTCACTGTCCCACTAGTATTCAACCTAATCCTTTGCCGGCCTAAAAACAGGCCGGATTCCACTGCTCTTCCTGGAATCGTTCTAAACGGCTTTACTGTAGCACGAGTTTCGTTTTGAAAATCCCTCTATTTTGATTTGTCATCTAATCTCAAATGATCCCAACACGTTGAATGAATTTTCACCAAAGTCCCGGTTGGACATTAATGAAGTTAACCACTCACTTTAATCATGAGTTTATTCGCTCTTGTCTTATTTCTCGCCAAAATTTGTGTTCTCCGGGGATCTTTTGCATGCTAAAAACTTGGTGTTGGTCGAATGGGGTTATATATATATATCATCCATATATATACATATATATATATATATGATAATAAGTAGTATGTGAATGACTGGACAAAATTTCCCTGGAAGCACACGACCGGTTTCGCGGTTCTTGCCGCTCGTCAGGCATGCGTATCCGGTAATCTTTTGTCAGTTCATTCATATACTTGTACCCAGGAAGTGTATTTTCGTCACAATAATCTTGTTTGCAACGCCGGGTGACCATTGGATAGACAGCTCTTTCAGAGCCAGTCCAATGAAGAATCAATGCTATGATTCGATGTTTTGTAAGTGGGTTAGNAAAGAACGAAATTCGCAATAGCTACTTGGTTGATCCACTGACGCTTTCTGTGGACTTGAGCTAGTTATTCACCGGTGTTGATTGAATCGTGTGTATTCATCCACAACAACAACAAATGTGACCTGATGGTCTTGAAAGAGCTCTGAAAAAGCTGTCTATCCAATGGTCATCCGGTGTTGCAAACAAGGTTATTGTGACGAAAATATATATATACCACAGGTGTGAATTCAGACGTTGCAATAATCCTTATGCAGAGAAACAAGATACATGATTTGCTCGTGGGCGTAATACCATCAGATTGCCCACTCAAAAGCAGATGAATTTCCTCGAAGAAGGCACAACCGAATCCTGAACCGGCAAGTC